GAATGTAGAAACGTCGCGAAGTGAGTGGCAAATGCGCACTTTTACCGACGGGCTTTGGCAGGGGCCACACTCGCGGTGCGTATTGTGGGGAAGGAGTACTCGCAAAATCCTGAAACTAAATGACCATCCGCAGTCGACGCGCCTCCCCCCACAACCCCCCCCCAAAAAAATAGATTCGCAGCTTCCTGTTTACTGTTGTCACGCGCTAGGCCCCCCTAGCTGAGCCTTTGCAATTTGCCGAACGCCGGACATTTAGGGAGGAGGTTGAAACTAAATGTAGGCACAAGAGTGCATTAAATAAAGCACTTTCCTCCACTGGAAGACCCGTGTTTTACCCATGACTCAAGTTCATGTCTCGGCTCAGTGGTTTCACCAACGAGTCATCTGTTAAGTTTCCGCCTCCCTCGCAAGGAATCTGGACTGAAGTGAGGTACTTTGTGCCTGCAGAAGCATTCATGCAGGCGTTTAGCTCGTAAAACATTGAATGCTATGTGTCAGAATAAGTGAGCAAGGAAAAATGCGTTATAAATGCGGATGTTGACGAGAAGAAAGCCAACAAAACTTTCGGACACTGCATGCTCTCAGACTGCACAAAGGAGCTGTTTGATGCATTTGGCTATGAAGTCTTACCAAAAAAACAAAAATATATTACAAGGAGCGTTTTCAAATCAAAATTATTCTAATCCCGCTGCATTGCAAGAGCTACAATTATGCGCAATCCGATTTGTAACCACATTTCTTTCTTTTTGCTACAAAAGTTGATCTCAAATACATGTGTAATCCTCAAGACTGGGTTGCCATCCGGCTTGGGCAATCCAGCATTTCAATCCTCCACATCGCTGAACATAAGGCTGGCGGTTGCCTCCTGCCGGTGCGTGTCCTCCTCCCATCACATGTGGCTGAGCGTGCCGCCGCGTGCAGGACGGTTATCTGCAGGTGTCGGCGCGTGCCGCGGCCTGGGGCGAGAGAGAGGAGTCGGCGTCAGACGCCGGCCGGAGAGGGGCCCTGCTGGCCACATGTCCGCGTCGCCCTGACGCCGGAATTCAAACGGCGGTGGCAGCTGCCGGCGACTACCCGGCCCGCCACCTGCCACGCGCCGACTTGCCGCCTCGCCCCCGCCCCACACACACGCCGCCGGCCCTGGCGACGTCTCCAGCAGGCCTACAGCCCCTCTGGCTCTGCCCTACCCGTCTGGCTCTGGCCGGGTCTCCAGCCGGCCGGCTTAGCGCCTCTTTGGTCGATGGGTCTGCCAATGCCGACTATAAAAAGCTGCGGCAGCGTCTCTGGAGGACCTGCGACATCTTGCAGCGAAGCGCGTGTTAGCCGGTCCGGCCGCTGCCCTCGCGTCGCCGACGGTCTCTGTCGCCTCGTGAGGCCCGACGTGACCTCTGTGACCCCGCTCCGCCCGCCCGTCCCCAGCCCGTCCCCCGGGCCACGTGCGGGTGGACTCGACAGCGAGACGCGGCGCCCGTGGCCAGCTCCAGTCATCGCTGACTCGGTCGATGACGTACCCTGAGGCTGGCGTCACGCCCGCGGCACCACAGGGAGGGCCGACCGTGCCGGAAAGGGTGAGGACGTGCGCTGGAACTGCGCTCGCCCGGGACCCGGTGCGCCTTCGACAGGCTCGAGAGGGAGGCAGACCGTGCCGGAAGGGGTGAGGACGTGTGCTAAGACTGCGCTCGCCCGGGACCCGGTGCGCCTTCGGTAGGGTCGGGAGGGAGGGCAGACCGTGCCGGAAAGGGTGAGGACGTTTGCTAGGACTGCGCTCGCCCGGGACCCGGTGCGCCTTCGATAGGGCTGAGGACGGCGCGTGCCACGCTGACCCCAAAAGGGCGCGCGAACACCACGCGATTGGTACAGGGGGGACGCGTCATGTCGGACGCGCGACTGGCTGGCCTCCTTTAGCCCACCTCGAGATAGTCAAAAGCAGTGTTTGCCAAGGGTCGAGATGCAGCGGTCGGTCTCCAACCGGTCAACTCAGCCCTTCAGTCCGCAACTTCCGGTCAACTCAGCCCTTCAGTCCGCATCTGTCTCTGGTTTGGCTTTGGCTTCCAAGCCTCCTTGTATGACTGAAACCCACGTGAATCATTCGCAGCTCAGCCTGTGTGGATGGCTGCTGTTGGGTTGTGATTTGGCAGGCGGTCTTGTTAAGCACCGCCCCACCACTCCGTATGCCACTGGCTGGGACTGGAGATGTTTTTTTCGCGAGGTTCCGAACATTGGGTGGCAAACCGGTGCGCTGCGAAACGCCATGGCACAGCTACACCAGGTGATGAAGAAATACTTGAATCAGTGTCCCAACATGGGGAAATCACGTCCAGCCCATCCACCCAATAATCGTTGGTGCTATCGCGAGAAATCTTTCATTGCATGAACATTTACCCAACAGCCAGATACCACTTGTCATGAGGGGGTCGTGGAATGTCTCAGTGTCCATTAGCTATCAGGTTCTCTCGAAGATGAACTGAATTTAATCTAAAACCCGGTACAACCAAGAAATGAAATTAGCAGGCCAATAACGTATTTGGCATTCTATTATCGGCTTAGTTGTCTTTGCAGTCTGTAGCATTTGTATTTTATCTGGTTTTACTGTTGACTATTACCGTTCAGTTTGGGCGACAGAGGTTCATGAAGAGCATCATAACTCTTTTCTGACGTGACACAAATGCTCTGGGACATTTCATAAAGCTTTGATATGGTGCAGACAGAATTTGTTAGGTGACGTTCTTGTACACCGGTTCAGCCCAGCTCATTTGCCTGTACCACCTCGTAGGCTCGCAAGGTCTGTACTTTTACTTTGAGTGTACGGCGCATTACTGATAAAGACTACGGAACGAGCTGGTTCTAGGAATGAATGCCAAGGTGTCTAAGTTGTGATTGCACTCACAAGGGGAATGCCTGTAAAGCGATTGCATTTACTCCGAGATTTGAACAATGCCAGTCGAAATAAAAGGCGCATTGAGAACTGTAGCAGTTCCTCCATGTTGTGAAACGCTCGTTAGATGGCAGCAATATTAGTTATGAAAATATAATTCGAAACATAGGATAGATATAAATGGAAGCGTATAATATATATGCTTCGAAAGGTATGATGATAATACGAAATGCACAAACAATATACTAGTGCTTATGAAAATAGGGTCGTGAAATAGTCACAAATATCGCAGACAATGACATGGTAATACCCCGCATGAAATCATCGCGTAATGCATGGTTGGTGGTTGGGGGAAAACATTGTTGTATTTCGAGTACGTTCAGACTCCACTGGTGTCTGTGCGGATGCTGACGCTTTTAAACCCTGGAGCTGTCTTGCCCTCTGAGATATATCAGGGCCTCTCACGAGATGATGACATAAGTTCTTTGAGAACGCTTCTCAGTTACCTTAGCAGCCTTCATGTGCAAAAACGGCTCCAATGCGAAGCCCAGGTCCTGGCCTTGGGTCTTGGACAACGCATGGTAAATAGTCCAGGTAGATGGTAGTTGTCTGGAAGGTCGTAAGGTCATTGTGCATGTCATCACTAAAACTGGATTTGTCAGAGTCATTGACATTGCTTGCGTCCACGAAGAGGCATGTGGTGCGTCGCTGACTACAACCCGCGCTTCGGAAAGCGTTCGCTGCCGCAGGGCAGCCCAAGCGCAATCAGAGAATTACCGCAAAATGCCAAGCCGGCATTCACGATAGTTTTCCTTCTATGTAAATGTCATTGTTATCGTAAGCAACCAGTAATGCATGCAGTGATACGAATATAGCATCAAAAGATTGCCGTTCGTGTATAAATTTCAGAGGTACCCTATGAATTGCGGTGAATGATGTAAGAAGGCGTTCACATCACACGAATATCGTGTAGGCGCCGTGAAGCCGCTGGCTCATCGTATCTTGGATTTCTTCACGCACATCGCTTTAACTCTGCTTAGCCTAAGTAGCTCATAAGGGCACGCTGGATACGCTAGCAAGTGCCAAACAACGTCCCCTTGCTCAGTAGAACCGACTCTCACGCCTTCACAATGCTCCCACCTCTGACGTCACGCAGCCCACCAATCAGGACCGAGCGCCTCCCTCAGGCTCCGCCCACCCGCCCTCCGCTTGGCCGTTCATTCATAAACTCTACCGAGGAAAGGCACAGAACGCTCCCGGGGAAGATCGCTGTTCGCCGAGGGGGCGCGAAAGTCGAGCCGCCTGTGTAATACGCCATTGTCTCGGACCATGAACGCCGTTTGGACCGGGTCCAATGGCGTTGGTTTGTTATGGACGGCTCGACCACCAAACGGGCGGCAGTGTTGACTTTAGACGGGCTTATGTCATCGGAAACCAGCCCTGCCGGCGCGGCTGGCTTCAGGAATGCCTGGCCGTAGAGCAGGCGGTTAAAGATGAAACGGGCTCGCGGGCGCGATCATGCACCGAGCAGTATGGCTGGAATGGGGCATTTCGCATCGGCACACGCTATTTATAATATCTATGGGCGCGTGCATGGACGCGGTGCTTATGCTTCATTAACGTCCCAACCTCACACACTGGCAGCAGCAACATCCGGCCAGTGGCAAACTTCTTCCGTTGACATGTACTCCGGGTCAGGACCGCAGAGTCACGAGTCTTTTGCAGCGGCGCCATGACTGGAGGCCTACACTACGTGCACAGCAGCATCATATACAATAGCAGTAAGTGTGGAATAGCTTTAAGTAATCTGGCGATTTAGAAACCCCGAACCACAAAAGCATAGTCCAACATCTAATATCAGCACAGTCGCATCAACATTTCCGATCCATGTTCCGCTCTGGGGTGCGGTCATCTTCCTGACCGAGCCCTGTCTCGCCGGCACCGCGATGACGTCTTACACCATCTCCTCCCAGCTCTCCGGGCCTGAAGCCCACCCGTCCCTCCGCCCCCGCGGCGTCGCGCTGCGTTCCAGACCGCGCGGCCCGGCTGACCGGCCGCCCCCGCCGGAAGCAGGGCGGCGGCGGCAGCGGCGGCGGCCGGCCGGCCTCAGTGCGTCTCCGGAGACGGGGCCGGCAGCACGCGCGCGAGGCAGTGAGAGTGTGCGCCGCGCCGGTCGGCTGCAGCGGACGGCGAGCGATGGCGCAGACCAGTGGCGTGCTGGCTGGCAGGACGTTCCCTCGGCCGGAGGTGCCGCCGCTGCCACGGCACGTGCTGCGGCCGTTGCGCAGGGCGAGAGGTACGACCCGGTGCGACCCGGTGTGGCCCGATCCAGCTCGGTCCTTCCCGGTCCCTCCCGGTCCGATCTGATCTGATCCGGTCCGGCTAGATCCTACTTGGTCCGATCCGGTCCGACCTGGTCCTGCCCGGTCCGGCTCGGTCCTTCCCGGTCCTTCCTGGTCCGATCCGGTCCGGCCCGGTCCGCCTGGATCCAGCTCGGTTCAGCTGGGACTGTCGAGTGCAGATGGGAGTGGTACAGTCGGTGTCCCAGCAACGGAACAGTTGGGTTAAACAGTGGCCGAGGCATTCGACTAGGCAACTGTTGGCGAGGCAAGGCAATGTTGCAGGGCCAGTGGATGCTTTGGCGGAAGGGCATGGGCCGGATGATCCATGACCCATACGTTTTTTTTTTGTGAAAACTTAATATTAGGCCCGTGGTGATGCATGTGAAGAATCGTATCCAGAGTCTCAAAATTGAAGGATGGGTATAACTTGATGTTGGTTGGGGATGCAGCCGTGTCGCCAGCATTTCAGAAACTTGATTGCCGGTGTTCGATGCTGCATGGAAAGAATGAACCCAAAAAGGACACTTGTATCCTCTTTTTAAGTTGCAGCCTAGACCCAAATCGGGGCTTGGCTGCTCCACTCTTTTGGATCTTTCTGCGCCCCTGGTGCAGGCTGCTTAAGTGTATCTGGCATCGCTTTTGCCACGCTGTAGCCGAGCTGTTATCTAGCTGCAGTAAAGGATGCCATCGACTCAGCCGAGCCGTGGCTGAGCTGCTTTGAGCTGCTGGTGAGCGGAATTGGGCTGGGCCCAGCGGCGGTGCTGGCCGGAGTCGCGCCTGCTCGTCTCACAGAGAAGTGGGAGCGGCGGTCATGAGCTGACACCACCAGGCTGCGTTAACTCCGTGACCCGATGGTTAAAGACTGGAACGGCAGACCCAGGAGCAGTCTTGAAAAATTGCGAAATTTTTCTGATTTTTTCGTGCTCTGTAGTTTCGATTTTTCGTAATTTGAGTCTCCTTTCATGGTTAGGTTGAATTCTCGTTCCACTTTGGTCACCTTCGGAACTCCGGCGAAGATACCTCGACCTCCATGGCACCTTTCACTGGGGCAGCCTGGCCATCCTGTCCACGGCTGACGGACTGAGATGTAAAATCTAACTTGTCCCAGGTGTTTGGGAATGCTGCACGCACGCGATAACCATAATGATTGGGGTTGCCTGATCGCATGGTCAAAAAGTGTGTTGAATGACCAAAAGGCTCGTTTTGCGTTCGCGCTACCTTCAAGTGCCCGCCGGCTGCTGCCCGGCAGTGGCCTGCCGACTGTGGCACACACTACTCCTACCACCCTTTCTCTTCCAACTACTGCGTCTTCAGGCTACTTCTCGGTTCCCTGCTTGCGCCGCCGAGCCAATGGAAAATGTCTAGTTGTCCTCCCGCCTGTCTCCTCTGCGCGGTTGGAGCCTGCGTGGCAGGACTGTGAGCGCAACTGCTCTTGCTGTTCCGGCCATTTGCAACTTTCAGAGAATCGCTGGATGGGCAAAGCAGGGTTTGTGGTGAAGTTTCTGCACACAATGGCCACATAACGGCCTCGTTACGGCTCGGAAGCATTGAGCCTCTTAGAATGGCGGAACGCTCCACCCATGCCTGCATCTGTAAGGTCGACAGTCGAGATGACAGAAGCATGCGATATTGGCAGTTCGTGTTGCCCGTCAGCTTGGCTGGGCATGTGCTATGCCCTTGCATGGCTGACCTCCCGAGGGCATTGGGTCAGCCCCGCCAGGTCGGGCCTGAACTCAGCGTATGAACCGCGAATGCGGTGTCCCAGGGAACAAATGCCGAACTTTTGCATGAAGCTCAACAAAAAGTATCTTACTTAATTAGCTCTTGAGCAAAAAAGTGTCGCATGTTTCGCAGCCATAGGTATCGAGCAAGAGACTGCAGCGTCGCAGTTAACTTGACACAACCTGAAGTTTACAACACGATTGAATGTTCCTATCGATCACGTTGTCTCTGAGTTAAGCATTTCATCGAGGGACACGCACCGCCGTGGCCCGGTGGCCGTGTCCCTTCTCTGACGGCCTTGTTCTCTCCCCAGACCCGCCCAACCAGGTGCCTCCGCTGACCCCCGGCACAAACAAGAAGATCGCAGAGGCCCTGATGGCGTCCTTCGAGAATTGGAACAAGGAGCAGGAGAAGCGGAACATCCCCAAAGGTGAGCCCCTTTGCCAGCTGGGTCACGTGGCCGACAGGCGGGGCTTAGTTCAGTCAGCTGTCAGGAGGAGCGTGGAGGCCTGCAAAAAGTTGGTGCGGAAACCTGGGAGATAAGGTTGGGGATATAGACATCTTTTTATCCGCGTTTAACCATGCAACCAGTTAGTATTAAAGCTAATTTCTTTCTTGAATCTGGAGGCGCTGATGCAAGACGTAGGAACAAGTTGGAGGGGGATATGAACTACCCACTTGTCTTAAAACTTCAACGTTAAAAGGAGTGTTCCAGCTATTCATGGGGTTTTGGACTGAAACAGTTATTTTGGAGGCCATTAAGTGCAGTTCACAGTCATGCCCTTTTCAACATCTTGATCCGAAGGTCAGCCCTACGTGCATGACGTCATAAAAACGTCACGTGAACGCTGCCTGCCAGCACATTGGCCACTGAGTGTTCAAGATCAAAACAAATATGACTATCGAATCATTTTTGGTTGGTGTACATTAGCACGATTCTTGGCATCAAAGGATAGCTGGCCTACATCTAGTGTTCTACCAATCTATTGCGTTGAGGGCAAGTTTGGGAGTCGAATCAAGATTTGTGCTACGTTAGACAGAAATTCGGGCAGTGATACGAGTTATGACAAAACAAGACTGAGGGTCGAATAGCTTTAGGCCAGCGCCATATCCAAGGTGATACGAGTTGTGGCGAAAGAAGACTGAGGATCGAATAGCTTTATGTCAGCGCCATATCCGAGGCTGTAAATCAAAGTAAGTAATGTAAAATAATGAACAAATATACAAGAACACCACGGGAAAGGACCAAACACGAGCACATAATGTGTTCATGTTTATGGCCTGGCGGTGTCTGATATGATTTTATACGATGTGTATAAACCCATTTTCGTATTCAGCAAACACACACCAGCCAACATTACACCTCTCGACAACTTCAAGTACTACAAGTCAGTCAGCCCTTCAGATACAGTGGGCATTTTGACACGGTCAGTCTTTCAGCGACTCTGGCGTCATTAAGACGTGCCATGACGTCATCAAACGATGATGTGTTGAGCATATTTACCGAACAGTGAACTGCTGTTTTCTAGACCAGTCTCGCACTTAAAAGCCAAGCAATAGTTACAAGTTAGCTGCTTTCGTATAGGTGATGCTTATCTCAAAACCTTTGAATGTGGAGCATTAACTCCCTTTAAGCATGTAGTGCTGTGCGTGGGAATATTCGGATAAAGGTAAATCCTACAACAGGCATGACCAAACCACATGGGGGGACACACATCTGGCTAATGCTGTTTCTCCAATGTTATATGGCCACCCCAGCTGCCATTTCGCTGAGCAAGCGTTCATGGGGTTCGAGGAACGTACCATCATGGACGCACTGTTTAGCGCAGTTAAAACCGGCAGCTATGCTGTTAACCTCATGACGACGATATAGGTGCTTCTGGCAGCCAGCAGGAGATCTATATCCATGTAAACTCGATATTAAATCACCATGTCATATGTACGATCAATGCATCCATGAGCCCGCAGCTGCTCTAACGCATCACTGGGATTTTTACGACGCACCCAACTGCTGAGGTTATATGGCGTCACCCGCCTGTCCCCCTGGCAGGAAGGGGCGGGCATCGCGGGGAATCGAACCCCGTACCTCTGGTTTCCCAGAGGCGCAGCGGTTAACGCTTACGCGTCAATCACCACACTACCGGCAACCTGCAGCTGCTCCCATGTGTACATCGAACGTATGCAGTATATGCGCATTGCTGCGTTGGGAAATATCGACGGCCTGATTTCACCATGTTTCGGTAGTCGCCAGAACAGACCCACCCATCAAGTTTTTCAAGACCACAGCGATCTGGGGTGGTCAGCAGGCATGGCTGAGCATCGGGACGGGCCTACGACGGGCCTACGGCAGCGGGAGGAATCTGAGAACTCCTGACTAGCACGAGACCGTTTCCGGGTCACCTGAGCGGCCGCTGAATGTCCGAGCCGCTGTAATACAAGGCCGGAGGTCAGAGGTCACCGCGGATCTTCATACGTGAACACGTCTGTCTGTTCAGCCGCGGACTTGGGAGACCTGCCGCTGCCTGTGACGGACTGACTCCGGCAGGCTAGTTCAAATCTCGCGCGGCAGCGCTAACCAGTTGTCCTCCGATCATATTGGCAAGTCAACACCCAGTAGCTTTGTTGCATGTTTTTGGTGGGAACATGTATCTGGTGACCCTTGACTCCGCCCTTGTCCTTGGCCCTGGCGGAGAAAGGTCATCTTCTGTCCGACATTCAGGTGCGCGAGGCGCAGTATGGCTTTGTGACGTCGTATCAGTAGGCCGTCAACCCCAGCAACGGTGCCCGACGTACCGCGCTCGTGGTGACGCCACTGACGTCGCTTCGTGTTCAGTGTGACGTCACATCAGTGCGATGTCACTCCCAGGGGCGGCGCCCGACGCGCTGCGTTTGTGACGCCGCTGACGCCGCCTCGCGTTATCTGTGACGTCACATCAGTGTGACGTCACTCCCAGCGGCGGCCGCCGACGCGCTGCGCTCGTGGTGACGCCGCTGACGCCGCCTCGCGTTCCAGACCCGCGCCAGTGGACGGAGATGGACGTGGTGCACTGGCTGTGCTGGGCCACCAACGAGTTCTGCATGGAGGGCGTCGAGATCGACAAGTTCAACATGAACGGTCGGGAGATGTGCGCCCTCGGCAAGGAGAGCTTCCTGTCGCGCACGCCGCAGTGGATGGGCGACATCCTGTGGGAGCACCTGGAAAACCTCCAGCGAGGTGAGTCACCCAGCGGTCTGGGTGAGTCGCCCAGCGGTCTGGGTGTGATGGGCCCAGCGGTCTGCGTGTGATGAGCCCACCGGTGTGGGTGAGTCGCCCAGCGGTCTGGGTGTGATGGTCTTAGCAGTCTGGGTGTGATAAACCCAGCGGTCTGGGTGTGATGGGCCCAGCGGTCTGGGTGGGTCCCCCAGCTGTCTGGGTGGGTCCCCTGGCGGTCTGGGTGAGATGGGCCTGCCCAACAACACCGGCAGCAGCCTGCGACTGAGGCATGATGCTGCCGGCCTAGACGAAAGCGCAGCGCAGGGCGCGATGTGTCAGTGTTGAATGTTCCCTTGGCGAAACATTTCAAAGGATTGATAGCAGTTGGTGATCCGGGAAAATGGCAGCGATTATTGAAACGTGGTCTGGCTCAGTGGCATCTGGCATCAAGTCAACCGGACGTGGACCGGCAGTGTTCAGTCGGACTCGGCAGCCTCGTTACACCCGGCCAGAGTCAGAGTTGGCCGCTTCTTGGGCTCATAACGACTCGGACAGACAGGATCCGGCGCAGTGTCCTGGTTACCAGGGCTGCAGCATGAGAGCCTCGGCACCTGGCGGGCGTCGGTCATACTGAGCAGAGTGCGTGGTCCCCTAGCTGGACTGGACAGAGTGCTTAGCCTCGTAGTGAGACTGGGCAGAGTGCGCAGCCCCCTGGTGAGACTGGGCGGAGTGTGTAGTCCCCTAGTCAGACTGGGTCGAGTGCGCAGCCCCCTAGTGAGACTGGGCAGAGTGCGCAGTCCCCGAGTGAGACTGGGCAGAGTACGTAGTCCCCTAGTCAGGTTGGGCAGAGTTCGCAGCCCCTAGTGAAACTGGGCAGAGTGTGTAGTCTCCTAGCCAGACTGGGCAGAGTGCGCAGTCCCCTAGTCGGACCGGGCAAAGAACATAGTCTCCTAACCAGACTGGGCAGAGTGTGCAGCCCCTGGTTAGACTGGGCAGAGTGCATAGTCCCCTAGTCAGACTTGGCAGAGTGTGTAGTCCCCTAGTCACACTGGACAGGGTGCGTAGTGTCCTATCAGGCTCGTGGCTTCTCCGGTGGACCCAGCCCAGGCCAAGAGTCTGTTTTCTTAGACACACCCAATCTCCTCCAAGCTCATCTAAACTTATCTGATCGTTCCTGTGACTCCTCTTATCTTCTCCAGACTCCTCCAGGTTATCTCAGATCGCGGCAAAGCTCCTTCAGCCTCCTTTTAACCGAAAAATATATTTTTTTAGATGGCTTGGGGAGGCCCGGCCCTTTGACAATAGGTGCCATAATGCGCATTTTGAGTGTATTCGTCAACTAATTTTTATGTATTTTGTAATTGAAATAAATTCAGTTTTTCTTTCTAACGTTGTGGTTATTTTACACTTGACTTTGAATCAATAAGTGATCACAACGTGCTGTTTTGTAGTTTATTGTCATTGCTTTATTTACTGATAGTCATTTATTATTATGCTGATAGCTTTATAGTTGCATCGTTTGCTAGTTGTGTATTAGTAAACTTGATGTCACATATTATTTATTACTACCTATAATTAAATTATTATGGACAATTATGTTTTCGCTCCTTAATGCAGCCCGACATAGCATAGTAGTCCCAGAGCAAACAAATGATATCTCATCCAATCTCATTTGAATGTTTCCGTGAACAGAGATCCAGTGAATCATCCAGCCTCCTTTAAACTCTCTCATCCTTTGCTGTATGTGACCACAAGGGCAGACCCCCACATCAACAGCGCGGCACGCTTGCTCCGTCTGGACTTCTTCTAACGTACCGTATAATGGCCCCAGGGTCAGACATATGACCTGACAAGGACGCCACTCCTCACCCTGCCCCACGTTGCCTCACTGACCGCCCTCTGGACAGTCCTTGCCCACCCCGCCGGTGGCGGCGGCGCGGCGGCACCGGCGCGGCCGGCCGGCTGCCAGCGGCGGCGGCGGCGGCGGCGTTTCCGGCGCGGCCGCGGTGCCGCTCCGTCTGCCGCGCCGGCGGCACCGCCGTGGCCGACCAAATATTTATGTTTGGCAGTGCGGTATCGAGAGCGGCGGCCGGCGACGGCCGCGCCACCGCAGACCGGGGACGGGCGGCGGGGCCCGCGGCACGGACGGGGGCGCGCCCCCGGCCTCCTGCGGACCCCACAGGTGGAACCCCGGACCCCTGCCTCCCCAGACAGGCGCTCTGTCCACCTCTCCGGCCTCGGGCGGGCCCCACAGGTGGGGAGCGGGGGTAGCCGTCCGTCGCTCCCGCGTCCCGTCCGCAGCCCGGGAGGTTCTGCGGCGCCGGCGAATGCTGATCTCGGCTGTCGGCTGCTGTCAAAACTGGCCCTGAAACGGCCACGAAATAAAACAAGCATTTCTCCCCAGCGATTCACCAGCTGCGCCCCTAACGTAAACATGGTAGAATATTGGGTGATCTCTTCATGCTCCCGCACAAAGGCCCGCTGTAATTCGCCAATTATATATATATATATATATATATATATATATATATATATATATATATATATATGTATATGTATATATATATATATATCTTCATTTATATATTTCCTAATTTATCTAGTCACTTTTATTCAGGAGGCATTCCAGAACAGAGCCAATGTTTGGACGGGCCTTTCCTTCGCATGCCTACCGAAAAACAAACTTGGAACGCTTGGTACCGTTCCCCAGAGTGCATCCCGTCGTTATAAAGCAGCTGGCTTTGACCTGACGCTGCTTCTCACGTCGCATGTAGTTCGTCGCGGCAGGCCCTAAACATTGCACTCACAGCCGCGCGGGTGACATGTCTCTGACGTCCTATTTAGCTACCTCATGCAGGTAGTTTGCTAACGAAGAACTGCCTCAGTACCCTTTTTGCCACGGAACCTCCCAGGGGCGGATCCGATGCAACATTTGGGAGGCAGCCACGTTCTAAATACCTCGCCAATGCCCCCAAAGCCGAGCCCAAACAGGGAAAGCGTCCACTTTCGCACAGTTCCCCGCCGCCGCCCTCAGACCTGCCGTGCCACCTGCCCTGCTCCCCCCCCCCCCCCCCCCGTCGACCCGGCGCGCCAGGCTGGGATGCGGTCGGCCCCGCCGCGACCCATTTCGACCGGAAGTGGCCGGGACTACGCCCCGCGCGCCGACAGCACGGCAGCGCGGCGCGCCCGACTGCGGCGGAGCACCGCCACCGGCCGGCACCGGCGCGGGCACAGGACGGGCGAGAGGAGCGCGCGGGGCACCTCCACCGGCCGCCACCAGCGCGGGTGCGGGACGGACGAGAGGAGCGCGCGGGGGACCGTGGTCTGGATCTTTAGAGGGGGAAGTTCGCCCTGGGATGGCCTGATGCTCATGTCCAAACTTGACCATGCATACAGTTGATTGGCTGGTGGACGTTTTTTTTAGAATGCAAACAGAAATGAGACTGCGGGATGTACGATTTCACGCAAAAACCTTGCTTGCTAAAATGGGCGGTTCGCCAAGTGCACGCCTGTTCGGCTGGGCAGCCGCACGTGGTATCGCCCGTCACCAGCTCGTCTGACTGATATCTGCTCAGGCGGTGACTCGCGGTGACCTATCTGCTCAGGCGGTGACTCGCCGTGATCCCCGACTGCGCTGGCAGCGGTCTTTGTTGCGATCACCCGCTGTTGTGACTGCACCTGCCACATTACCCACGACTGTCCTGCCAGGTGGCTCCGCCGCCACACGTCCGACAGCGTGCCTCTCTGGTCTGGTGTCGCGTGAAAGGTCGGCGGCTATGCTGGCGCGAGCCGCAGACAGCGGTCGACACCGACACCGCGGCTCGGCTGTCCGGCCGGCCGGCCTGGTGGACCCGGTCCCCCTTCACTGGTCCAGAAACCCTTTGTCACATTAGCCCGAAGCAGATACCAACGCCGTTCGAGCATCTGCACGGCTCGCTGAAGCGTGTCGAGCAGAAGAGCAGCGTCTGCTGTGTTCAGATTCGGAGCGCAGAGCGGCGTCTACTCTCTTCATATTTAGAGTGACAAAGACAAATGTCATATCATTTGACTCCAGGTTAACACGTTATGAAAAGTTGATTGCGTTGCAAGCTGACAGGCTGCACCGCGCTATGAGGGGATAACAGTGTACATGGCACGCGAATCGGTCCAACCTCCGTCCGTCCAGTCTGACTCTGGGCTTCGCCGAATACCAGGTAGACTCATCGGGCAGAGCCCGTGAAGACACGGGAGAGTGACGAGGATAAAGACCGTGTGTCCCCCGCGGCGACCTGACGCAGGCGACCCCGCGCTGCGGCTGGTCGGCGGTGCTCCGTCCGTCACGTAGTTCGTGACGGCGTGCGTGGCTGTCTGGCCGCGCGGGACGGCCGGCGGCGCCCTCGACCGGCCGTCACGGGGCGGGGCGGCGGGAGGGGCGGATCCGCCCCGGCCCGCCCGGCCCGCCCAGTCGGGCTCCGCGGACGAGCCGGCCGGCCGCGCCGCTATCGGACGAGTGGCTGCGGGAGGAACAAGCGGCGTTGAGCAGCCGTGGTCGAGTGCTCGTCTCCAGGCTGTGGGTGGCACTCATCAGGCTCGGTGTCAGTGAGGAGCGCGAGAGAGCGCCGCACGCCTCCGGTCACCAGTGTCGCCTCAGCCTTAGCTTTCGCGGCTACACCTGGTCTCGGCAGTGGCTTTCGCGGCTACGGCAGGTCTGGGCTGTGGTTTTGGCCGCTGCGAAGGGTCTCGCCTGTGGCTCTGGCTGTTGTAGCAGCTCGAGAGGGCGGCCGCCTCTCCGGCCTGGCTGGGGAGGCTCCGGGACGTCCTCCGATGCAGCGCCGCCGCGGTACGTGGCTCGGTACTGAGAAATGCAATCCGCACGTCGTGTGTGACTGAGAACCGTCATCCGCCTGTCATGTGTGGCTGATAACCGTCATCCGGACGTCATGTGTGACTGAGAACCATCACCCACACGTCATGTGTGACTGGAACCGTCATCCGGACGTCATGTGTGACTGAGAACCGTCATCTGATCTGTGATCTAAGCGTCCTGTTATTGGAAACGTCTGTGGTACCTCGCCTGATCGAGTGAAGCGTGGCATGTGGGTCATAGCTTGCTTGTTCTTAAAGTACTGCTTGTGAGTATAGTTTTCATTAAGCAGATCAATAGCTTGTATGACATTTTATAATGAGAAGTGTCCCTTGTGTGATGTCGAATGCTGATAGCCGCACGTTGAAGTCACTGCTAGTAAGCAATGCCATTTTTACGTGCTGGCAATTCAGCCACAAGGATGTACAGGCGACGATAACGATGCAGAAAGCGATATCGTAGCGTCTTCTTACTCTGAAGACGCCACCGTACGTCACATAGTCCCAAGCATCATGATGTAATCTTTTTTGGTGTACTCTCATGATTACTTTTCTCGACCCAAAGGCGTAAAAAGGCTTGCCGAATACTAACAACCCAAAATGACCTTGTTATACTTAAGGGTTGAGGGATGTGCGAGCTAGTATAAATGATCTCTTCATGCGTGCGATCTCGGCTCTGTGAACGAGGGTGTTTGTTTTATCTGCTCGATGATAATCGCGTTGATTAACTTGAACGAACAGCGCAACAGTTCATCAGTAACTACACATCAGGGAACTGGGCAAACGGAGCATGCGGTGCGGACATGGCCCCGGTGCTATCAAACAGCCAGATCTGAATTAGGAATCCTTGTGCCTTACCACGATTCCGTCAAATGACTTTTCTCGCGACCGAGATCTCGCAAATTATCCCATGCAGGGGACCGATTATAGTTCGATTCTAGTGACTCTGACCGGCCAGATTTACCGGACTCCGGTCTCCGTCTGATTCTTTCCAGCGGACGAAGGTTTCTCCTGACCCGATATGACTGACTGGCATGTCCCACGGCTATTCCATGACCCGGTCCTGCTCAGCTCTGGCCTGGAGACTGATCCTGCCCAGCGGACTAAGCTTGCCGGTCTCTGGTGCTCTGACCGATTTGTCCAGCGGGCAGGCTCTCACTGCTCTGGCCTCGCGACTGATCCCGCCCAGCGGACCAAGTCTGCCGGTCTCTGGTGCTCTGACCGATTTGTCCAGCGGGTAGGCTCTCCCTGCTCTGGCCTCGCGCCGACAGATGACACATCGCGCTAATGACCGCAGAACTCGGCCGCTGGGACCGGGCCGGTGGGGGGGGGGGGGGGGGGGGGGACCAAGGTGAGCGAGCGCCGGCGGCGGCGCCCCGGGCGGCCGTTCTGCCGCGGGACCGCGAACAATGGCGGCCAGCGCGCGGCACCGTCGATCCGACAGCGGCGGCGCTGTCCTTGACGAGCGACGCACGTGCCCGTGCTGGAGGGCAGGTCATGCGCCGCCCAAAGGTCACGAGGAGACTGTGAGGCGCCGCGCGGCCGTCGACGGTCAACCAATCCGTCAACCAGCCAACCAATCTGTCAACCCCAACGTCAGTCTGTCTGCCTGTACTACTATGGTAGCCCGACTGTCAACATAAACGTCAACCCGGCTGTCAACATAGATGTCAACCCGACTGTCAACCCATTTGTCGACACGGCCGTGGCACGGATGGGGGATGCGTCCTTGAATTGGGTCGTCCACCCATGCGCCAACCATTTCGGCCAATCGGGGAAATCTGTGGGGCATTGCGCAGAACGGGCTGTAACGACATACGCTTGTCCCGCAGTAATGCGAATCAGTGCGTTTTTTCCTCATCATGGTGGGTTGAAAAGCTCTGAATCAGGGACACACCGGCATCAAACTCATTCGAGCCCGTATGACAAACATATTCGCTTGATAATCTCCTCCCCGTTTGCTCACGCGCGATTTCATCGCGGGAATGACGCCCCCGTGGAGCCCTGTGGTGCACCACAGCAGACGCCGGGCACCAGCGCAGAAACGCGTTGTTCGACATTGGCCTTGACGCGGGCCGTCAGCGGCTGTCAGTCCTCTGAGACCGTCAGACGTCACGTGACGTGTCACCGGGTCTAAACACTGTGAAGGGCTCCGTCTAGTCCGTGACTCGTCACGCGTCAGCGCATGCGCGAATACGACCGTCGTGGTGGCGGTCGTTCTCCCTGCTTCCAGGGTTGCGCGTGCGCCATAAATGTTACGCGGTCGTGGTCAGGATGGCTTAAACCAGCAGCGACAAACCTAATGGCGGTGAACCCATTGTCAGCACGAAGGGGCTTAGGTTCCTGCTTCTTCGACTTTTTTTAGTTTTTTTCTGATGACTAACGACCTTTAATGTACCTTGAGTTACAGGCACCAATGTATCAAAAAATAGTCGTAAGTATGTTATGAACATAATTAGCTTTTCAGCAGCGTTCGTGTTCACTCGTGGCATTGAACGATGCGGCGAACGTGGGTATTACCGTCGTATATTTTAATGATTGCTTGATGTATTGTGTCATCGGCGCCTCCCGGTGTATTGAAAGCTAGTCTTTATTGGGCATAAGATCTCACGTATCCTTTAAATCGTCGGTTTGGACATTATTTCGTAACATCATGTATATACATTTCACTGCCTCCTTAGACGCCCTGCATTTCACGGATGTCTCGAATTAAAAACAAAGGTTTATGACATTCAGAATAAATGATAGAGGCCCAAACCACGCACTAAGATAGTATGTCCTCACTGCGTTTTCAAATAACCGCGTCATCAACAATGGCGATAACAGCAACACAACTAACTTGATGATAACGTTTCTAGAACACCATCATTTTCCCATGTGTATTTGAGTAGGAAAACGAGAACGTTCGGATATCCGAAACAGTTAGGCGTAGCCACATACCATGCTTTGAGACGTTATGACGTCATGTGTTTCCAAATCACCCGTGTTCGATATATACAGTGTCAGCTAACTGAAAACGTGAGGAAAATGTTTTGACGGCACGTTGCTTCCTCCGTTGCGTAAGTGACTTTGAAAATTAACAGCTCGCTCGCCAAAGAAACTGGCACCACTGTAATGATAATCTCAAATCACCGTTTACACTGAGGCGTACATTCAAGCGTGGTGAGTGCCACTGATGTCCTGTTCATTGGAGGCTGCCCTACTCTGCCTGTTTGCATCAGCTGCACCGCTGAGTCACTTGCCACGCTGTTGTATGATCTGCCACGCTGCCGTGTGACCTGTCACGCTGCTGTATGACCTGCCACACTGCTGTGTGACTTGCAGCCTTGCTGCATGACCTTCCGCACTGCTGTATGACCTGTCGCGCCGCCGCACCTCATCCCGCCGTCTCCTCACCTGGGCCCCTGCCGTTCCAGAGTGGGAGAAGGCGCGGGCAACGTTGGAGAACATCCCGGCTGGCGCCTACGAGAACGTCTGCGTGCCCGACTTCAACCAGTTCTTGGACCAGTACCCGGCGGGCAGGGGTCTGCACCAGTCGGGCTCGGGTACCGGCGGTCTGGCGGCCGGCAGTCCGGGCCCGCCGTCGGCGCCGGTGCCCGTCCATGCGCACCACGCCACGCACCCTCAGCCGCTCTCGGAAGGTGAGGCCAGGGGCGCACTGCAAGGGTCGTAGCTAGCTCCCTTGCGGTTTGTCGACAAGTCTCGACGATCTCCCACAGGCGGGAGTCCGCTCACCAGGAACATTCCCACAGACGGTTGGTCTAGCAGTTCACACCCACCCAGCACAAAGGCGTGGGAGCCGCCGACAAGTGATCAACTCATCAGCACCCCTCCCGCTGCGGTCGTGTACGTGGGCCGAGTGCGGCGGGCGGCGGCTGCCGGCGGCTGATCGGCTCGCTGCGTGCAGCCCTCCTCGGTCATACGGTCCCGACGATTATTTTCCGGCTCCCACAATCGCGCTGTTTTACCCACGCGGCCTGCACTGTTGGTGGAGTCTGCATGTACATAAGGAGACATGACCTCTCTGTGACGAATGACAGTGCCTGGTTGTTACTCTGGGTCTGCTGGTCTCGCTGGGAAGCATTACACCGTTTGAGGGGGTCCAGGTTCTTCCATAGTTTGTCCGCTACCACCTTCCCACAGCAAATCTCAGGGTCAGGCGCCAATGCATGGACAGGGTGTGGGCAAAGAGACGCGACACATTGCATTGGACTACATAATTCTTCAACTTCCCTCGACGAATTGATGACTTTTGCTAAACAGAACTCAAAGCCCAAAGAGCCTGTTGCTTGGCTTTATGAACCCTTCAAATGCGCTTGCCTCACGAGCTTTGCGCGAGCACATGGTGCGCCAAAGCCATAAGCACCGCACCGCGCCAACCCGAAGACCATAATTTGTCGCGCGCAAGTGGGCTGCCGACGATTTATCATCGCAAACGCGGACTGGGTGCCGACCGAGCCGGCGGCGGGCTCGGCCTAGAGACGCCGCCGTCGTCATTTCCGCAGCGGCCGGCTTACTTTCGTCGCCGCCGGTGCGCCTGCCCGTCCGTCTCGGCGGCAGGCGGCCGCCGCCCGCTGACCTCTGTACACTACCGCCGCCGTAAGTGGTACAAACCGGTGTCGGCGGATGCGCGGGCGCTTCCGGCAGCGTCGCGCCGCCGGCGCTCATTTCGCGGCGTCAGGCGGCCACCCCCCGGCGTCCCGATTAGAGTGCGGCGCGCGGCGCCGCGCCGCCGGCCTGTCCTCCTTCGCCGTGTGCCGTGTGCTCGTCTGGCGGGATGTGACGGGGCCGATGACACCCGCAGTGGCGCTGATGCCGGCCGACGGCAGCCAGAGCGGCGCTGATGGCGGCCGGAAGATGGTGATCCGTGTTTGGGTTGTTTGGGACGCTTGGCCGGTATCTCGCTGACAAGTGTCGTTACTGATGCCAGTCGATCGTGAACGAGAAGGATATCAAGTCCTTTGGGTGCTCAGCCAATATGATAGCAGATTCTCCCTAGGCGTCGAGCCTATCCAGTCGGCTCCCAGGTCGCCCGCAGTCCCACGGACCCCTCTCGGTCCTCGCGACGCGACAGGAGTTGCCGCGCAACCTGGTGGTTATGATAGCGGAGATTCCTGCTGTACTGCCTCCTCCGTGGCCTCCTCCGCCTCAGTGACCTCCTTCGCTTCGGTGGCCTCCTCCACCTTGGTGTCCTCCTCCACCTCAGTGGCCTCCTCCGCCTCTGTGTCCTCCACCTCAGTGGTCTCCTTCGCTTCGCTGGCCTCCTACGCCTCGGCGGTCTGCTCTGCCCGGTGGCCTCCTCCGCCTCTGTGGCCTGCCCCGCCTCTGTGGCCTCCTCCGCCTCGGTGGCCTCCTCCACCTGGTGGCTCCTCCGTCTCTGTGTCCTCCTCCGCCTCTGTGGCCTGCTCCGCCTCTGTGGCCTCCTCCACCTCGGTGGCCTCCTCCACCTTGGTGGCCTCCTCCGCTTCGGTGTCCTCCTCCGCCTCGGTGGCCTGTTCTGCGCGGTCAGGTCCGGCCGCGCTCGTCGGAGACGTGCCCCGCTGGCCTTCGCCGGCGCCGCGGCCGCCCCGCCCGGCCACCAGTCCGCCGCGCTGTTTTATTCTGGGAACGGTGACCGGCGCTTTCTCACAGTCCTTGTCACGACGTGAACTTAGTGCCGGCCGCCGGCGGTTCCCAGTTCATCTAGCGCCGGCCGAGGGTCCATTTTGCTGGCAGGGGCGCGGCGGAGCCGACCGGGGCTGAGCTGCCCCGGGGGGCCTCCGGTGATGGCGGCCGGGGTCTGCAAGGGTCCACGTGCCCACAGATCCGTGCTGCGGGACTGACACGAACTCTGGCACATGCTGGTAGCGCGCGATGGCCGCTGGTGATACCAGGTCAGCCATGATGTCCACTGGTCGCGTGCCCTCCTGCAGAAACCTGCAGTGTCCCGTGCAATTGTATCGGGTCTCCATCACACTTTCTGCAAGCAACGGACCGGCCTTCTCCAAACTCTATCCGGTATGACGTGTGCGCCGCCATCTCTCAGCGGCAGAACCTCTGCAACACCCCGCGCGCGGGTCGGTTCCGACCGCCTCGGTCACCGGGAACTGGAGACTGAAGTCCGCAGCACTGCGGCCGTCGACGGACGTGGCACGGGTCTCGTCGCCGGTGACGACTGCCTCCTGCTCGGCGAACGCCCGGGGCCTTTGTCTCCGGCGCCCGCGAGCCCTCGCCCCGACTGTCTCCTGCTCGGCGAACGCCCGGGGCCTTTGTCTCCGGCGCCCGCGAGCCCTCGCCCCGCCGGCACTCCTCCCGCGTGAGAGCCGGCGCGGCCGCGACTTCCCCACGCGACCCGCGCTTCCGACGGAAAGCGAGAGTCGTCTCCGCGTCGCCGCCGACAGCCGGTCTGGGGGCGCCGGTCGGCGGCGCGCCGGCGCGTGGGAACGCACCTCAGGCGCCGCCGGGGGCGGCCGCTTCCGGCGCGCGCGCCTCTCCGGCGCGGGGGCGGGGGCTGCAGTGCGACCGGTAGCCGTGAACCTGGCGCACCGGATGTTGTGTCGCGCCGGATGTGCGGCATCACGCGAGCTGCGTGCCGGGCGGCGGACCGGACAGACGGACCGAGCGACGGAACGGGCGCCGCGCACAGCTCGGCGTAGAAGCTGGAGCGCGCCGGCCGTCGCTGAGCCTGACCGCCCCGCTCGCGTTACCTCTTCTCATCATCTCGACTTAGTTGGGGAAGGCGCTGGCCTGCGCTTGGATCGGATTTGCGCATCAGCGCTGGAATTATCCTCCCGTCGGTGGCCGGCCCGAGTAAGTAAAAGAACGTCGGTGGACTCCTGAATTCCTGGGCGGTGCTGCATGCTTTAGACAATGGCTAGCCGCGGCGCAGGTGCCGAACAACTTTGGACTTCCCCATTCTCCGACGCGCCTGGGCGAACGTTCGCGGATAGCCTTGAAGTGGTGGCGGCTGTGACCATGAGCGGTGAACTTCAAAGGCACCAGTGCATTGACTGGACAGCGAGAGAGAGTACAGGCAGCATCGTGCAGCGACTCCGTTCTTGTTTTGTTTTGTTTTAGTGAGTGAGTCACCAGCTCTTCGAAATCCTGAGCTACAGGGGTGCCAACGCATCGTGGATCGAAGTGTCTCCCGATCAGTTCCTTCGCTTAGCCTTTTCTGTTTCCTCCGTGTACTATACAGAGCCGCCGAGCGGCACGCCGCGGCGTCCCGCCGCGGGCTGCCGGGTCGCCAGGTCACGTCCCGGGGTCGGCCGGGGTCGCGTCATTAGCCGGCGCCGCCACTGACCTAGTCCGGCTGAGAAGTGTGCTGTCGGAAGCGGCCGACAGGAAGCCACCGAGAGCCGACTGCCGGCGCCGTGCCGCACACGGTGTCGGCTGTCGGCCGGGGGAGGTAGCAGCGCCGGCACCGCCGCGTGTCACCATGGATCAACGCCGCGACTGGGGGCTCCAGGCGGCCTCGGTGGCCGCCGTCCGCGCGCTCCGAGCAAGTAAGACGACGCCCGCGCAATGGCGCGCAGGCGTGTGCTCCTGAAAGATGGGCTGAGGTGTAGCGGAGCTCCAGTGCGCGTATTTTTGGCTGGACTTTTGGTCTTGGGCTTTGGTATTTCGATTTGGCAAACACCGATTAGGTTGCCTTGTGGAACGTGAGGGATGTGCCGGAGTGTGTATTTGCAACTTTTCGCCTCAAGCTTGGTCGGTCGGCGCTCCTCTTCCGGCGTAGCTCGCTATTTCTCTCCCAGAAAATTCCGACTGATCGTGCAGCCGAGCTGCCTTAAACCCAAATAACCAGCCCGGCATATCTCAGCTACCCGGATGTGGCTTTCTGTTCCAGATGCACGAACATATTTGAGTTATTTGCGACCGGGTACCGCGTTCCGGTTATGTGCCAGTCAAGGACGCAACATCTTCGAACCTGTATCTGAGTTATGGTCGGTGCAATCCCTTCCAATTTGTTTGCGTTATCAGCCTTTGGCAAGGTGGCGGAGCAAGAGGGCGGGACGATCCCCCCCCCCCCCCCCCCCACTCCTTGCACTCCCTATCTCGGAAGAAAGTTAACATTGATCCTCCAGCGTGGATGCAAAGAGATGAGGTAAAATACTGTTGCGTTTGCCATTCCAACAATTTGAACATGAGATGAGCCGGGGCCGCCCATGGTGCACCACACCATCATATCCGTATTATCTCCTCGTTATGTCCCTCTCGCGCCATATCTGCCTCTTGTAGTAGCATCCTCCTGTGTACCTGACTTATCAACCGGTGGCGCTCTGTCCCGGTGCACCTGGACCCGGCGTGGTCCCTCCTCCTGCATGTCTGAGTTGTTGTCAGCCTTTGATGTATCACGTATCACTGAGTTGTTGTCGGCCATGTATATCTGGGCTATCAGCTAGTAGAGCCCCTCCCTGTGTATCTGGGTATCAGCCAGTAAGTAGCGTCTCTCCCTGTGTATCTCGATTATCAGTCAGTGGCGTTCCTCCCGTGTATCTGCTTTTCAGCTCCTCTCGTGTATCTTGGTTATCAGCTAGAAGCGCCCCTCCCGTGTGCCTGGGTTATCAGCCAGTAGCGCCTCTCCCTCCAACGTATCTGCACCATCAGCCAGAAGGGCCTCTCCCTCCCGCGCATCTGCGTGATCAGCCAGTAGCACCTC